ACGGAAACGGAGATTCTTTCACCGGAAGAATCTTGGTACTGCATACGCTGTAAAAAGCACCAACAAGCTAGCAAATCTCTTATGCTATGGAAATTGCCTCCCATTCTCATCATCCAGATGAAACGCTTTCAGTATACTTCGCAGGTGCTGCGTAGAAAAATCGACACTGCGGTAGAGTATCCATTGAAGTAAGTGTGTGAAGGTTACTTTCTTTTATAGATCTCCAGTTAATTCAGATATCTCATTTTGCAAGGCTGTAAATTTTAACTTTAATTTTTGAAGGAGTCGTTATTTCTTATTCTGTTTTACCTAGTAGCATTTTCGAAGAATTGTTTGCAAACACCTATATGAAATTATTATTATTATTATATTTAACACTTGGAAGCCGGATGTTTTCGTCAGTGACCCTCTTAGATATTTTTCTGCATTGATGTGATCCGTGTTCGTATTTTTTTGGTTCCTCTTTGATCTGCAGGTACGGATGAGATTCGTTCTCTTTGCTTCGCTTCGCTTCGCGATTTAAAATTTGTTACAGTGAATAAGAGGTGGTTTCAATGAGATGTCAAAGACGACGTAAATGCATAAATTTTCATTTCTACGAAATTAATTGAACGAGATCTCATTAGAATAATTTTCAGCCCTGACCGTTCTACTGTAACACGTTTAATTGCCTCATGTTTAAGGAATCTTGATTTACGGCCGTATGTTTGTGCGGGGGCTCCTGCACAGGAGACCAGATATGATTTGTATGCGGTTGTTTGCCACTCTGGAAGCACTTATTTTGGTCATTACATTGCGCTCGCTGCACTTCTTTCTGATGAGCAAGACAAACCTGAATTGGGTAGGTGTTCGAAGGATATTCTTTGTTCAGACATGTGCAGCCATTATTTTTCCCTTTAGACTGGCGACGTTTCAACGATTCCAACGTCGTGAACATTCAAAGGGAAAGCGAAGTTGTCGACAGTGAAGCTTACCTTCTATTTTACAGGCGCAAGGACTGCGCTTCTTTAAATCTGTCCGAAAAGTACAAGGCACTGCAGTAAAAGATTAAAATTAGCTTACTTTTCTGTCGCGAAAGGCAAAAATTTTAGGGAGGACTTTATTTTATCCGGCAAGCAAAAGGTGATTGAGAACATGAAATTTTCAGAGGCTGAAGATGTTTTGCAAGAACCACAGTCGAGCGCCCAGTTGAGCCCTTTGCCTCCACCGCCATTCGACGATCTGATTGGTCCTACTAA